CGGTTGGACCAACTGGCCTGTTGGTCCGATGGACCGGTTGGACCAACTGGCCTGTTGGTCCGAGTGGACCGGTTGGACCAACTGGCCTGTTGGTCCGATGGACCGGTTGGACCAACTGGCCTGTTGGTCCGATGGACCGGTTTGGACCAACTGGCCTGTTGGTCCGATGGACCGTTGGACCAAACTGGCCTGTTGGTCCGATGGACCGGTTGGACCAACTGGCCTGTTGGTCCGATGGACCGGTTGGACCAACTGGCCTGTTGGTCCGATGACCGGTTGGACCAACTGGCCTGTTGGTCAAATGGACCGGTTGGACCAACTGGCCTGTTGGTCCGATGGACCGGTTGGACCAACTGGCCTGTTGGTCCGATGGACCGGTTGGACCAACTGGCCTGTTGGTCCGATGGACCGGTTGGACCAACTGGCATTGTTGGTCCGATGGACCGGGTAAGACCAACTGGCCTGTTGGTCAAAATGGACCGTTTGTTTGACCAACTGGCTGTTGGTCCGATGGAACGGTTGGACCAACTGGCCTGTTGGTCCGATGGACCGGTTGGACCAACTGGCCGTTGGTCCGATGGACCGGTTGGACCAACTGGCCTGTTGGTCCGATGGACCGGTTGGACCAACTGGCCTGTTGGTCCGATGGACCGGTTGGACCAACTGGCCTGTTGGTCCGATGGACCGGTTTGGACCAACTGGCCTGTTGGTCGATGGACCGGTTGGACCAATGGCCTGTTGGTCCGATGGACGGTTGGACCAACTGGCCTGTTGTGGTCCGATGGACCGGTTGGACCCAACTGGCCTGTTGGTCCGATGGACCGGTTGGACCAACTGGCCTGTTGGTCGATGGACCGTTGGACCAACTGGCCTGTTGGTCCGATGGACCGGTTGGACCAACTGGCCCTGTTGGTCCGAGGGACCGGTTGGACCAACTGGCCTGTTGGTCGATGGACCGGTATGGACCAACTGGCCTGTTGGTCCGATGGACCGGTTGGACCAACTGGCTGTTGGTCCGAATGGACCGGATGGACCAACTGGCCTGTTGGTCCGCTGGACCGGTTGGACCAACTGGCATGTTGGTCCGATGGACCGTATGGACCAACTGGCCTGTTGGTCCGATGGACCGGTTGGACCAACTGGCCTGTTGGTCCGATGGACCGGTTGGATCAACTGGCCTGTTGGTCCGATGGACCGGTTGGACCAACTGGCCTGTTGGTCCGATGGACCGGTTGGATCAACTGTCCTGTTGGTCCGATGGACCGGTTGGACCAACTGGCCTGTTGGTCCGATGGACCGGTTGGACCAACTGGCCTGTTGGTCCGATGGACCGGTGGACCAACTGGCCTGTTGGTCCGATGGACCGGTTGGACCAAACTGGCCTGTTGGTCCGATGGACCGGTTTGGACCAACTGGCCTGTTGGTCCGATGGACCGGTTGGACCAACTGGCCTGTTGGTCCGATGGACCGGTTGGATCCAACTGGCCTGTTGGTCCGATGGGACCGGTTGGACCAACTGGCCCTGTTGGTCCGATGGACCGGTTGGACCAACTGGCCTGTTGGTCCGATGGACCGGTTGGACCAACTGGCCTGTTGGTCGATGGACCGGTTGGACCAACTGGCCTGTTGGTCCGATGGACCGGTTGGACCAACTGGCCTGTTGGTCCGATGGACCGGTTGGACCAACTGGCCTGTTGGTCAAATGGACCGGTTGGACCAACTGGCCTCTTGGTCCGATGGACGGTTGGACCAACTGGCCTGTTGGTCCGATGGACCGGTTGGACCAAATGGCCTGTTGGTCCGATGGACCGGTTGGACCAACTGGCCTGTTGGTCCGATGGGACCGGTTGGACCAACTGGCCTGTTGGTCCGATGGACCGGTTGGACCAACTGGCCTGTTGGTCCGATGGACCGGTTGGACCAACTGGCCTGTTGGTCCGATGGACCGGTTGGACCAACTGGCCTGTTGGTCCGATGGACCGGTTGGACCAACTGGCCTGTTGGTCCGATGGACCGGTTGGACCAACTGGCCTGTTGGTCCGATGGACCGGTTGGACCAACTGGCCTGTTGGTCCGATGGACGGATTGGACCAACTGGCCTGTTGGTCCGATGGACCGGTTGGACCAACTGGCCTGTTGGTCCGATGGACCGGTTGGACCAAACTGGCCTGTTGGTCCGATGGACCGGTTGGACCAACAGGCCTGTTGGTCCGATGGACCGGTTGGACCAACTGGCCATGTTGGTCCGATGGACCGGTTGGATCCAACTGGCCTGTTGGTCCGATGGACCGGTTGGACCAACTGGCCTGTTGGTCCGATGGACCGGTTGGATCAACTGTCCTTTTGGTCCGATGGACGGTTGGATCAACTGTCCTGTTGGTCCGAATGGACCGGTTGGATCAACTGTCCTGTTGGTCAGATGGACCGGTTGGACCAACAGGCCTGTTGGTCCGATGGACCGGTAGACCAACTGGCATGTTGGTCAATGGACCGGTTGGACCAACTGGCCTGTTGGTCAAATGACCGGTTGGACCAACTGGCCTGTTTGGTCCGATGGACCGGTTAGGACCAACTGGCCTGTTGGTCAATGGACCGGTTGGACCAACTGGCATCGTTGGTCCGAGGACCGGTGGACCAACTGGCCTGTTGGTCCGAATGGACCGGTTGGACCAACTGGCCTCGTTGGTCCGATGGACCGGTTGGACCAACTGGCCTGTTGGTCCGATGGACCGGTTGGACCAACTGGCCTTTGGTCCGATGGACCGGTTTGGACCAACTGATGGACCGGTTGGACCAACTGGCCTGTTGGTCCGATGGACCGGTTGGACCAACTGGCCTGTTGGTCCGATGGACCGGTTGGACCAACTGGCCTGTTGGTCCGATGGACCGGTTGGACCAACTGGCCTGTTGGTCCGATGGACCGGTTGGACCAACTGGCCCTGTTGGTCCGATGGACCGGTTGACCAACTGGCCTGTTGGTCCGATGGACCGGTGGACCAACTGGCCTGTTGGTCCGATGGACCGGGTTGGACCAACTGGCCTGTTGGTCCGATGGACCGGTTGGACCAACTGGCCTGTTGGTCCGATGGACGGTTGGACCAACTGGCCTGTTGGTCCGATGGACCGGTTGGACCAACTGGCCTGTTGGTCCGATGGACCGGTTGGACCAACTGGCCTGTTGGTCCGATGGACCGGTTGGACAACTGGCCTGTTGGTCCCGATGGACCGGTTGGATCAACTGTCCTGTTGGTCCGATGGACCGGTTGGACCAACTGGCCTGTTGGTCCGATGGACCGGTTGGACCAACTGGCCTGTTGGTCCGATGGACCGGTTGGACCAACTGGCCTGTTTGGTCCGATGGACCGGTTGGACCAACTGGCCTGTTGGTCCGATGGACCGGTTGGACCAACTGGCCGTGTTGGTCCGATGGACCGGTTGGACCAACTGGCCTGTTGGTCCGATGGACCGGTTGGACCAACATGGCCTGTTGGTCCGATGGACCGGTTGGACCAACTGGCCTGTTGGTCCGAATGGACCGGTTGGACAACTGGCCTGTTGGTCCGATGGACCGGTTGGACCAACTGGCCTTTGGTCCATGGACCGGTTGGACCAACTGGCCTGTTGGTCCAGATGGACCGGTTGGACCAACTGGCCTGTTGGTCCGATGGACCGGTTGGACCAACTGGCCTGTTGGTCCGATGGACCGGTTTGGACCAACTAGGCCTGTTGGTCCGATGGACCGGTTGGACCAACTAGGCCTGTTGGTTCCGATGGACCGGTTGGACCAACTGGCCTGTTGGTCCGATGGACCGGTTGGACCAACTAGGCCTGTTGGTCCGATGGACCTGGTTGGACAACTGGCCTGTTGGTCCGATGGACTCGGTTGGACCAACTGGCCTGTTGGGTCCGATGGACCGGTTGGACCAACTGGCCTGTTGGTCCGGATGGACCAGGTTGGACCAACTGGCCTGTTGGTCCGATGGACCGGTTGGACCAACTGGCCTGTTGGTCGAATGGACCGGTTGGACCACTGGCGTGTTGGTCCGATGGACCGTTTGGACCAACTGGCGTGTTGGTCCGATGGACCAACTGGCCTCTTGGTCCGATGGACCGGTTGGACCAACTGGCGTGTTGGTCCGATGGACCGGTTGGACCAAACTGGCCTGTTGGTCCGATGGACCGGTTGGACCAACTGGCCTGTTGGTCCAATGGACCGGTTGGACCAACCAGCCTGTTGGTCGATGGACCGGTTGGACCAACTGGCCTGTTGGTCCGACTGGACCGGTTGGACCAACTGGCCTGTTGGTTCGATGGACCGGTTGGACCAACTGGCCTGTTGGTCCGTGGACCGTTTGGACCAACTGGCCTGTTTGTTCGATGGACCAGTTGGACCAACTGGCCTGTTGGTCCGATGGACCGGTTGGACCAACTGGCCTGTTGGTCCAATGGGACCGGTTGGACCAACTAGCCTGTTGGTCCGATGGACCGGTTGGACCAACTGCCTGTTGGTCCGATGGGACCGGTTGGACCAACTGGCCTCTTGGTCCGATTGGACCGGTTGGACCAACTGGCCTGTTGGTTTGATGGACCGGTTGGGACCAACTGGCCTGTTGGTTCGATGGACCGGTTGGACCAACTGGCCTGTTGGTCCGATGGACCGGTTGGACCAACTGGCCTGTTGGTCCGATGGACCGGTTGGACCAACAGGCCTGTTGGTCCGATGGACCGGTTGGACCAACTGGCCTGTTGGTCCGATGGACCGGTTGGACCAACTGGCCTGTTGGTCCGATGGACCGGTTGGACCAACTGGCCTGTTGGTCCGATGGACCGGATGGACCAACAGGCCTGTTGGTCCGATGGACCGGTTGGACCAACTGGCCTGTTGGTCAAATGGACCGGTTGGACCAACTGGCCTGTTGGTCCGATGGACCGGTTGGACCAACTGGCCTGTTGGTCCGATGGACCGGTTGGACCAACTGGCCTGTTGGTCCGATGGACCGGTTGGACCAATTGGCCTGTTGGTCCGATGGACCGGTTGGACCAACTGGTCCAATTCATTGGTTGGACCAACTGGCCTGTTGGTCGAATGGACCAGTTGGACCAACTGGTCCAATGGATTGGTTGGATCAACTAGCCTGTTGGTCCGATGGACCGGTTGGACCAACTGGCCTGTTGGTCCGATGGACCGGTTGGACCAACTGGCCTCTTGGTCCGATGGACCGGTTGGACCAACTGGCTTGTTGGTTTGATGGACCGGTTGGACCAACTGGCCTGTTGGTCCGATGGACCGGTTGGACCAACTGGCCTGTTGGTCCGATGGACCGGATGGACCAACAGGCCTGTTGGTCCGATGGACTGGTTGGACCAACTGGCCAGTTGGTCCGATGGACCAGTTGGACCAACTGGCCTGTTGGTCCGATGGACCGGTTGGACCAACTGGCCTGTTGGTCCAATGGACCGGTTGGACCAACTAGCCTGTTGGTCCGATGGACCGGTTGGACCAACTGGCCTGTTGGTCCGATGGACCGGTTGGACCAACTGGCCTCTTGGTCCGATGGACCGGTTGGACCAACTAGCCTGTTGGTTTGATGGACCGGTTGGACCAACTGGCCTGTTGGTCCGATGGACCTGTTGGACCAACTGGCCTGTTGGTCCGATGGACCGGATGGACCAACAGGCCTGTTGGTCCGATTGACTGGTTGGACCAACTGGCCAGTTGGTCCGATGGACCGGTTGGACCAACTGGCCTGTTGGTCCGATGGACCGGTTGGACCAACTGGCCTGTTGGTCCGATGGACCAGATGGACCAACAGGCCTGTTGGTCCGATGGACCGGTTGGATCAACTGTCCTGTTGGTCCGATGGACTGGTTGGATCAACTGTCCTGTTGGTCCAATGGACCGGTTGGATCAACTGTCCTGTTGGTCCGATGGACCGGTTGGACCAACTGGCCTGTTGGTCCGATGGACCGGTTGGACCAACTGGCCTGTTGGTCAAATGGACCGGTTGGACCAACTGGCGTGTTGGTCCGATGGACCGGTTGGACCATCTGGCCTGTTGGTCCGATGGACCGGTTGGACCAACTGGCCTGTTGGTCCGATGGACCGGTTGGACCAACTGGCCTGTTGGTCAAATGGACCGGTTGGACCAACTGGCGTGTTGGTCCGATGGACCGGTTGGACCATCTGGCCTGTTGGTCCGATGGACCGGTTGGACCAACTGGCCTGTTGGTCCGATGGACCGGATGGACCAACAGGCCTGTTGGTCCGATGGACCGGTTGGACTAACTGGCCTGTTGGTCCGATGGACCGGTTGGACCAACTGGCCTGTTGGTTCGATGGACCGGTTGGACCAACTGGCCTGTTGGTCTGATGGACCGGTTGGACGAACTGGCTTGTTGGTCCGATGGACCGGATGGACCAACAGGCCTGTTGGTCCGATGGACTGGTTGGACCAACTGGCCAGTTGGTCCGATGGACCGGTTGGACCAACTGGCCTGTTGGTCCGATGGACCGGTTGGACCAACTGGCCTGTTGGTCAAATGAACCGGATGGACCAACTGGCCTGTTGGTCAAATGGACCGGATGGACCAACTGGCCTGTTGGTCCGATGGACCGGTTGGACCAACTGGCCTATTGGTCCGATGGACCGGTTGGACTAACTGGCCTGTTGGTCCGGTGGACCAGTTGGACCAATTGTCCTGTTGGTCCAATGGACCGGTTGGACCAACTGGTCCAATTCATTGGTTGGATCAACTGTCCTGTTGGTCGAATGGACCAGTTGGACCAACTGGTCCAATGGATTGGTTGGATCAACTAGCCTGTTGGTCCGATGGACCGGTTGGACCAACTGGCCTGTTGGTCCGATGGACCGGTTGGACCAACTGGCCTCTTGGTCCGATGGACCGGTTGGACCAACTGGCTTGTTGGTTTGATGGACCGGTTGGACCAACTGGCCTGTTGGTCCGATGGACCGGTTGGACCAACTGGCCTGTTGGTCCGATGGACCGGATGGACCAACAGGCCTGTTGGTCCGATGGACTGGTTGGACCAACTGGCCAGTTGGTCCGATGGACCAGTTGGACCAACTGGCCTGTTGGTCCGATGGACCGGTTGGACCAACTGGCCTGTTGGTCCGATGGACCGGATGGACCAACAGGCCTGTTGGTCCGATGGACCGGTTGGACCAATTGGCCTGTTGGTCAAATGGACCGGTTGGACCAACTGGCGTGTTGGTCCGATGGACCGGTTGGACCAACTGGCCTGTTGGTCCGATGGACCGGTTGGACCAACTGGCCTGTTGGTCCGATGGACCGGTTGGATCAACTGTCCTGTTGGTCCGATGGACCGGTTGGATCAACTGTCCTGTTGGTCCAATGGACCGGTTGGATCAACTGTCCTGTTGGTCCGATGGACCGGTTGGACCAACTGGCCTGTTGGTCCGATGGACCGGTTGGACCAACTGGCCTGTTGGTCAAATGGACCGGTTGGACCAACTGGCGTGTTGGTCCGATGGACCGGTTGGACCATCTGGCCTGTTGGTCCGATGGACCGGTTGGACCAACTGGCCTGTTGGTCCGATGGACCGGTTGGACCAACTGGCCTGTTGGTCCGATGGACCGGTTGGACCAACTGGCCTGTTGGTCCAATGGACCGGTTGGACCAACTAGCCTGTTGGTCGATGGACCGGTTGGACCAACTGGCCTGTTGGTCCGATGGACCGGTTGGACCAACTGGCCTGTTGGTCCGATGGACCGGTTGGACCAACTGGCCTGTTGGTCCGATGGACCGGTTGGACCAACTGGCCTGTTTGTTCGATGGACCAGTTGGACCAACTGGCCTGTTGGTCCGATGGACCGGTTGGACCAACTGGCCTGTTGGTCCAATGGACCGGTTGGACCAACTAGCCTGTTGGTCCGATGGACCGGTTGGACCAACTGGCCTGTTGGTCCGATGGACCGGTTGGACCAACTGGCCTCTTGGTCCGATGGACCGGTTGGACCAACTGGCCTGTTGGTTTGATGGACCGGTTGGACCAACTGGCCTGTTGGTCCGATGGACCGGTTGGACCAACTGGCCTGTTGGTCCGATGGACCGGATGGACCAACAGGCCTGTTGGTCCGATGGACTGGTTGGACCAACTGGCCAGTTGGTCCGATGGACCGGTTGGACCAACTGGCCTGTTGGTCCGATGGACCGGTTGGACCAACTGGCCTGTTGGTCCGATGGACCGGATGGACCAACAGGCCTGTTGGTCCGATGGACCGGTTGGACCAACTGGCCTGTTGGTCAAATGGACCGGTTGGACCAACTGGCGTGTTGGTCCGATGGACCGGTTGGACCAACTGGCCTGTTGGTCCGATGGACCGGTTGGACCAACTGGCCTGTTGGTCCGATGGACCGGTTGGATCAACTGTCCTGTTGGTCCGATGGACTGGTTGGATCAACTGTCCTGTTGGTCCAATGGACCGGTTGGATCAACTGTCCTGTTGGTCCGATGGACCGGTTGGACCAACTGGCCTGTTGGTCCGATGGACCGGTTGGACCAACTGGCCTGTTGGTCAAATGGACCGGTTGGACCAACTGGCGTGTTGGTCCGATGGACCGGTTGGACCATCTGGCCTGTTGGTCCGATGGACCGGTTGGACCAACTGGCCTGTTGGTCCGATGGACCGGTTGGACCAACTGGCCTGTTGGTCAAATGGACCGGTTGGACCAACTGGCGTGTTGGTCTGATGGACCGGTTGGACCATCTGGCCTGTTGGTCCGATGGACCGGTTGGACCAACTGGCCTGTTGGTCCGATGGACCGGTTGGACCAACTGGCCTGTTGGTCCGATGGACCGGTTGGACCAACTGGCCTGTTGGTCCGATGGACCGGATGGACCAACAGGCCTGTTGGTCCGATGGACTGGTTGGACCAACTGGCCAGTTGGTCCGATGGACCGGTTGGACCAACTGGCCTGTTGGTCCGATGGACCGGTTGGACCAACTGGCCTGTTGGTCCGATGGACCGGATGGACCAACAGGCCTGTTGGTCCGATGGACCGGTTGGACCAACTGGCCTGTTGGTCAAATGGACCGGTTGGACCAACTGGCGTGTTGGTCCGATGGACCGGTTGGACCAACTGGCCTGTTGGTCCGATGGACCGGTTGGACCAACTGGCCTGTTGGTCCGATGGACCGGTTGGATCAACTGTCCTGTTGGTCCGATGGACTGGTTGGATCAACTGTCCTGTTGGTCCAATGGACCGGTTGGATCAACTGTCCTGTTGGTCCGATGGACCGGTTGGACCAACTGGCCTGTTGGTCCGATGGACCGGTTGGACCAACTGGCCTGTTGGTCAAATGGACCGGTTGGACCAACTGGCGTGTTGGTCCGATGGACCGGTTGGACCATCTGGCCTGTTGGTCCGATGGACCGGTTGGACCAACTGGCCTGTTGGTCCGATGGACCGGTTGGACCAACTGGCCTGTTGGTCAAATGGACCGGTTGGACCAACTGGCGTGTTGGTCCGATGGACCGGTTGGACCATCTGGCCTGTTGGTCCGATGGACCGGTTGGACCAACTGGCCTGTTGGTCCGATGGACCGGTTGGACCAACAGGCCTGTTGGTCCGATGGACCGGTTGGACCAACAGGCCTGTTGGTCCGATGGACCGGTTGGACCAACTGGCTTGTTGGTCCGATGAACCGGTTGGACCAACTGGCCTGTTGGTCCGATGGACCGGTTGGACCAACTGGCCTGTTGGTCCGATGGACCGGTTGGACCATCTGGCCTGTTGGTCCGATGGACCGGTTGGACCAACTGGCCTGTTGGTCAAATGGACCGGTTGGACCAACTGCCATGTTGGTCCGATGGACCCGTAGACCAACTGGCCTGTTGGTCAAATGGACTGGTTGGACCAACTGGCCTCTTGGTCCGTTGGACCGGTTGGACCAACTGGCCTGTTGGTCCGATGGACCGGTTGGACCAACTGGCATGTTGGTCCGATGGACCGGTAAGGCCAACTGGCCTGTTGGTCAAATGGACCGGTTGGACCAACTGGCCTCTTGGTCCGATGGACCGGTTGGATCAACTGGCCTGTTGGTCCGATGGACCGGTTGGACCAACTGGCCCGTTGGTCCGATGGACCGGTCGGACCAACTGGCGTGTTGGTCCGATGGACCGGTTGGACCAACTGGCTTGTTGGTCTGATGGACCGGTTGGACCAACTGGCCTGTTGGTCCGATGGACCGGTTGGACCAACTGGCCTGTTGGTCCGATGGACCGGTTGGACCATCTGGCCTGTTGGTCCGATGGACCGGTTGGACCAACTGGCCTGTTGGTCAAATGGACCGGTTGGACCAACTGCCATGTTGGTCCGATGGACCGGTAAGACCAACTGGCCTGTTGGTCAAATGGACCGGTTGGACCAACTGGCCTCTTGGTCCGATGGACCGGTTGGACCAACTGGCCTGTTGGTCCGATGGACCGGTTGGACCAACTGGCATGTTGGTCCGATGGACCGGTAAGGCCAACTGGCCTGTTGGTCAAATGGACCGGTTGGACCAACTGGCCTCTTGGTCCGATGGACCGGTTGGATCAACTGGCCTGTTGGTCCGATGGACCGGTTGGACCAACTGGCCCGTTGGTCCGATGGACCGGTCGGACCAACTGGCGTGTTGGTCCGATGGACCGGTTGGACCATCCGGCCTGTTGGTCCGATGGACCGGTTGGACCATCTGGCCTGTTGGTCCGATGGACCGGTTGGACCAACTGGCCTGTTGGTCAAATGGACCGGTTGGACCAACTGCCATGTTGGTCCGATGGACCGGTAAGACCAACTGGCCTGTTGGTCAAATGGACCGGTTGGACCAACTGGCCTCTTGGTCCGATGGACCGGTTGGACCAACTGGCCTGTTGGTCCGATGGACCGGTTGGACCAACTGGCATGTTGGTCCGATGGACCGGTAAAGCCAACTGGCCTGTTGGTCAAATGGACCGGTTGGACCAACTGGCCTCTTGGTCCGATGGACCGGTTGGATCAACTGGCCTGTTGGTCCGATGGACCGGTTGGACCAACTGGCCCGTTGGTCCGATGGACCGGTCGGGCCAACTGGCGTGTTGGTCCGATGGACCGGTTGGACCATCTGGCCTGTTGGTCCGATGGACCGGTTGGACCAACTGGCCTGTTGGTCCGATGGACCGGTTGGACCAACTGGCCTGTTGGTCAAATGGACCGGTTGGACCAAATGGCGTGTTGGTCCGATGGACCGGTTGGACCATCTGGCCTGTTGGTCCGATGGACCGGTTGGACCAACTGGCCTGTTGGTCCGATGGACCGGTTGGACCAACTGGCCTGTTGGTCCGATGGACCGGTTGGACCAACAGGCCTGTTGGTCCGATGGACCGGTTGGACCAACTGGCCTGTTGGTCCGATGGACCGGTTGGACCAACTGGCCTGTTGGTCCGATGGACCGGTTGGACCATCTGGCCTGTTGGTCCGATGGACCGGTTGGACCAACTGGCCTGTTGGTCAAATGGACCGGTTGGACCAACTGCCATGTTGGTCCGATGGACCGGTAAGACCAACTGGCCTGTTGGTCAAATGGACCGGTTGGACCAACTGGCCTGTTGGTCCGATGGACCGGTTGGACCAACTGGCCTGTTGGTCCGATGGACCGGTTGGACCAACTGGCATGTTGGTCCGATGGACCGGTAAGGCCAACTGGCCTGTTGGTCAAATGGACCGGTTGGACCAACTGGCCTCTTGGTCCGATGGACCGGTTGGATCAACTGGCCTGTTGGTCCGATGGACCGGTTGGACCAACTGGCCCGTTGGTCCGATGGACCGGTCGGACCAACTGGCCTGTTGGTCCGATGGACCGGTTGGACCAACAAGCCTGTTGGTCTGATGGACCGGTTGGACCAACTGGCCTGTTGGTCCGATGGACCGGTTGGACCAACTGGCCTGTTGGTCCGATGGACCGGTTGGACCAACTGGCCTGTTGGTCCGATGGACCGGTTGGACCAACTGGCCTGTTGGTCCGATGGACCGGTTGGACCAACTGGCCTGTTGGTCCGATGGACCGGTTGGACCAACTGGCTTGTTGGTCCGATGGACCGGTTGGACCAACTGGCCTCTTGGTCCGATGGACCGGTTGGACCAACTGGCCTGTTGGTTTGATGGACCGGTTGGACCAACTGGCCTGTTGGTCCGATGGACCGGTTGGACCAACTGGCCTGTTGGTCCGATGGACCGGATGGACCAACAGGCCTGTTGGTCCGATGGACAGGTTGGACCAACTGGCCAGTTGGTCCGATGGACCGGTTGGACCAACTGGCCTGTTGGTCCGATGGACCGGTTGGACCAACTGGCCTGTTGGTCCGATGGACCGGATGGACCAACAGGCCTGTTGGTCCGATGGACCGGTTGGACCAACTGGCCTGTTGGTCAAATGGACCAGTTGGACCAACTGGCGTGTTGGTCCGATGGACCGGTTGGACCAACTGGCCTGTTGGTCCGATGGACCGGTTGGACCAACTGGCCTGCTGGTCCGATGGACCGGTTGGATCAACTGTCCTGTTGGTCCAATGGACCGGTTGGATCAACTGTCCTGTTGGTCCGATGGACCGGTTGGACCAACTGGCTTGTTGGTCCGATGGACCGGTTGGACCAACTGGCCTGTTGGTCCGATGGACCGGTTGGACCAACTGGCCTGTTGGTCCGATGGACCGGTTGGACCAACAGGCCTGTTGGTCCGATGGACCGGTTGGACCAACTGGTCTGTTGGTCCGATGGACCGGTTGGACCAACTGGCCTGTTGGTCCGATGGACCGGTTGGACCAACTGGCCTGTTGGTCCGATGGACCGGTTGGACCAACTGGCCTGTTGGTCCGATGGACCGGTTGGACCAACTGGCCTGTTGGTCCGATGGACCGGATGGACCAACAGGCCTGTTGGTCCGATGGACCGGTTGGACCAACTTGCCTGTTGGTCCGATGGACCGGTTGGACCAACTGGCCTGTTGGTTTGATGGACCGGTTGGACCAACTGGCCTGTTGGTCCGATGGACCGGTTGGACCAACTGGCCTGTTGGTCCGATGGACCGGATGGACCAACAGGCCTGTTGGTCCGATGGACTGGTTGGATCAACTGGCCTGTTGGTCAAATGGACCGGATGGACCAACTGGCCTGTTGGTCCGATGGACCGGTTGGACCAACTGGCCTGTTGGTCAAATGGACCGGATGGACCAACTGGCCTGTTGGTCCGATGGATCGGTTGGACCAACTGGCCTATTGGTCCGATGGACCGGTTGGACTAACTGGCCTGTTGGTCCGGTGGACCAGTTGGACCAATTGTCCTGTTGGTCCAATGGACCGGTTGGACCAACTGGTCCAATTCATTGGTTGGATCAACTGTCCTGTTGGTCCAATGGACCAGTTGGACCAACTGGTCCAATGGATTGGTTGGATCAACTAGCCTGTTGGTCCGATGGACCGGTTGGATCAATTGGCCTGTTGGTTCGATGGACCAGTTGGACCAACTGGCCTGTTGGTCCGATGGACCGGTTGGACCAACTGGCCTGTTGGTCCGATGGACCGGTTGGACCAACTGGCCTGTTGGTCCGATGGACCGGTTGGACCAACTGGCCTGTTGGTCCGATGGACCGGTTGGACCAACTGGCCTGTTGGTCCGATGGACCGGTTGGACCAACTGGCCTGTTGGTCCAATGGACCGGTTGGACCAACTGGCCTGTTGGTCCGATGGACCGGTTGGACCAACTGGCCAATTGGTCAAATGGACCGGTTGGACCAACTGGCCTGTTGGTCCGATGGACCGGTTGGACCAACTGGCCTGTTGGTCCGATGGACAGATTGGACCAACTGGCCTGTTGGTCCGATGGACCGGTTGGACCAACTGACCTGTTGGTCCGACGGACCGGTTGGACCAACTGGCCTGTTGGTCCGATGGACCAGTTGGACCAACTGGCCTGTTGGTCCGATGGACCGGTTGGACCAACTGGCCTGTTGGTCAAATGGACCGGTTGGACCAACTGGCGTGTTGGTCCGATGGACCGGTTGGACCAACTGGCCTGTTGGTCCGATGGACCGGTTGGACCATCTGGCCTGTTGGTCCGATGGACCGGTTGGACCAACTGGCCTGTTGGTCCGATTGGACCAGTTGGACCAACTGGCCTGTTGGTTCGATGGACCGGTTGGACCAACTGGCCTGTTGGTCCGATGGACCGGTTGGACCAACTGGCCAATTGGTCAAATGGACCGGTTGGACCAACTGGCCTGTTGGTCCGATGGACCGGTTGGACCAACTGGCCTGTTGGTCCGATGGACCGATTGGACCAACTGGCCTGTTGGTCCGATGGACCGGTTGGACCAACTGGCCTGTTGGTCCGACGGACCGGTTGGACCAACTGGCCAGTTGGTCCGACGGACCGTTTGGACCAACTGGCCTGTTGGTCCGATGGACCGGTTGGACCAACTGGCCTGTTGGTCAAATGGATCGGTAAGACCAACTGGCCTGTTGATCCGATGGACCGGTTGGACCAACTGGCCTGTTGGTCCGATGGACCGGTTGGACCAACTGGCCTGTTGGTCCGATGGACCGGTTGGACCAACTGGCTCGTTGGTCCGATGGACCGGTTGGACCAACTGGCCTGTTGGTCCGATGGACCGGTTGGACCAACTGGACTGTTGGTCCGATGGACCGGTTGGACCAACTGGCCTGTTGGTCCGATGGACCGATTGGACCAACTGGCCTGTTGGTCCGACGGACCGGTTGGACCAACTGGCCTGTTGGACCGACGGACCGGTTGGACCAACTGGCCAGTTGGTCCAACGGACCGTTTGGACCAACTGGCCTGTTGGTCCGATGGACCAGTTGGACCAACTGGCCTGTTGGTCCGATGGACCGGTTGGACCAACTGGCCTGTTGGTCCAATGGACCGGTTGGACCAACTGGCCTGTTGGTCCGATGGACCGGTTGGTCCAACTAGCCTGTTGGTCCGATGGACCGGTTGGACCATCTGGCCTGTTGGTCCGATGGACCGGTTGGACCAACTGGCCTGTTGGTTCGATGGACCGGTTGGACCAACTGGCCTGTTGGTCCGATGGACCGGTTGGACCAACTGGCCAATTGGTCAAATGGACCGGTTGGACCAACTGGCCTGTTGGTCCGATGGACCGGTTGGACCAACTGGCCTGTTGGTCCGATGGACCGATTGGACCAACTGGCCTGTTGGTCCGATGGACCGGTTGGACCAACTGGCCTGTTGGTCCGATGGACCGGTTGGACCAACTGGCCTGTTGGTCAAATGGACCGGTTGGACCAACTGGCGTGTTGGTCCGATGGACCGGTTGGACCAACTGGCCTGTTGGTCCGATGGACCGGTTGGTCCAACTAGCCTGTTGGTCCGATGGACCGGTTGGACCATCTGGCCTGTTGGTCCGATGGACCGGTTGGACCAACTGGCCTGTTGGTCCGATGGAGGGGTTGGACCATCTGGCCTGTTGGTCCGATGGACCGGTTGGACCAACTGGCCTGTTGGTCCGATGGACCGGTTGGACCAACTGGCCTGTTGGTCAAATGGACCGGTTGGACCAACTGGCGTGTTGGTCCGATGGACTGGTTGGACCAACTGGCCTGTTGGTCCGATGGACCGGTTGGTCCAACTAGCCTGTTGGTCCGATGGACCAGTTGGACCATCTGGCCTGTTGGTCCGATGGACCGGTTGGACCAACTGGCCTGTTGGTCCGATTGGACCAGTTGGACCAACTGGCCTGTTGGTTTGATGGACCGGTTGGACCAAATGGCCTGTTGGTCCAATGGACAGGTTGGACCAACTAGCCTGTTGGTCCGATGGACCGGTTGGACCAACTGGCCTGTTGGTCAAATGGACCGGTTGGACCAACTGGCCTGTTGGTCAAATGGACCGGTTGGACCAACTGGCCTGTTGGTCCGATGGACCGGTTGGACCAACTGGCCTGTTGGTCCGATGGACCGATTGGACCAACTGGCCTGTTGGTCCGATGGACCAGTTGGACCAACTGGCCTGTTGGTCCGATGGACCGGTTGGACCAACTGGCCTGTTGGTCAAATGGACCGGTTGGACCAACTGGCGTGTTGGTCCGATGGACCGGTTGGACCAACTGGCCTGTTGGTCCGATGGACCGGTTGGACCATCTGGCCTGTTGGTCCGATGGACCGGTTGGACCAACTGGCCTGTTGGTCCGATTGGACCAGTTGGACCAACTGGCCTGTTGGTTCGATGGACCGGTTGGACCAACTGGCCTGTTGGTCCGATGGACCGGTTGGACCAACTGGCCAATTGGTCAAATGGACCGGTTGGACCAACTGGCCTGTTGGTCCGATGGACCGGTTGGACCAACTGGCCTGTTGGTCCGATGGACCGATTGGACCAACTGGCCTGTTGGTCCGATGGACCGGTTGGACCAACTGGCCTGTTGGTCCGACGGACCGGTTGGACCAACTGGCCAGTTGGTCCGACGGACCGTTTGGACCAACTGGCCTGTTGGTCCGATGGACCGGTTGGACCAACTGGCCTGTTGGTCAAATGGATCGGTAAGACCAACTGGCCTGTTGATCCGATGGACCGGTTGGACCAACTGGCCTGTTGGTCCGATGGACCGGTTGGACCAACTGGCCTGTTGGTCCGATGGACCGGTTGGACCAACTGGCTCGTTGGTCCGATGGACCGGTTGGACCAACTGGCCTGTTGGTCCGATGGACCGGTTGGACCAACTGGACTGTTGGTCCGATGGACCGGTTGGACCAACTGGCCTGTTGGTCCGATGGACCGATTGGACCAACTGGCCTGTTGGTCCGACGGACCGGTTGGACCAACTGGCCTGTTGGACCGACGGACCGGTTGGACCAACTGGCCAGTTGGTCCAACGGACCGTTTGGACCAACTGGCCTGTTGGTCCGATGGACCAGTTGGACCAACTGGCCTGTTGGTCCGATGGACCGGTTGGACCAACTGGCCTGTTGGTCCAATGGACCGGTTGGACCAACTGGCCTGTTGGTCCGATGGACCGGTTGGTCCAACTAGCCTGTTGGTCCGATGGACCGGTTGGACCATCTGGCCTGTTGGTCCGATGGACCGGTTGGACCAACTGGCCTGTTGGTTCGATGGACCGGTTGGACCAACTGGCCTGTTGGTCCGATGGACCGGTTGGACCAACTGGCCAATTGGTCAAATGGACCGGTTGGACCAACTGGCCTGTTGGTCCGATGGACCGGTTGGACCAACTGGCCTGTTGGTCCGATGGACCGATTGGACCAACTGGCCTGTTGGTCCGATGGACCGGTTGGACCAACTGGCCTGTTGGTCCGATGGACCGGTTGGACCAACTGGCCTGTTGGTCAAATGGACCGGTTGGACCAACTGGCGTGTTGGTCCGATGGACCGGTTGGACCAACTGGCCTGTTGGTCCGATGGACCGGTTGGTCCAACTAGCCTGTTGGTCCGATGGACCGGTTGGACCATCTGGCCTGTTGGTCCGATGGACCGGTTGGACCAACTGGCCTGTTGGTCCGATGGAGGGGTTGGACCATCTGGCCTGTTGGTCCGATGGACCGGTTGGACCAACTGGCCTGTTGGTCCGATGGACCGGTTGGACCAACTGGCCTGTTGGTCAAATGGACCGGTTGGACCAACTGGCGTGTTGGTCCGATGGACTGGTTGGACCAACTGGCCTGTTGGTCCGATGGACCGGTTGGTCCAACTAGCCTGTTGGTCCGATGGACCAGTTGGACCATCTGGCCTGTTGGTCCGATGGACCGGTTGGACCAACTGGCCTGTTGGTCCGATTGGACCAGTTGGACCAACTGGCCTGTTGGTTTGATGGACCGGTTGGACCAAATGGCCTGTTGGTCCAATGGACAGGTTGGACCAACTAGCCTGTTGGTCCGATGGACCGGTTGGACCAACTGGCCTGTTGGTCAAATGGACCGGTTGGACCAACTGGCCTGTTGGTCAAATGGACCGGTTGGACCAACTGGCCTGTTGGTCCGATGGACCGGTTGGACCAACTGGCCTGTTGGTCCGATGGACCGATTGGACCAACTGGCCTGTTGGTCCGACGGACCGGTTGGACCAACTGGCCAGTTGGTCCGACGGACCGTTTGGACCAACTGGCCTGTTGGTCCGATGGACCGGTTGGACCAACTGGCCTGTTGGTCCGATGGAGGGGTTGGACCATCTGGCCTGTTGGTCCGATGGACCGGTTGGACCAACTGGCCTGTTGGTCCGATGGACCGGTTGGACCAACTGGCCTGTTGGTCAAATGGACCGGTTGGACCAACTGGCGTGTTGGTCCGATGGACCGGTTGGACCAACTGGCCTGTTGGTCCGATGGACCGGTTGGTCCAACTAGCCTGTTGGTCCGATGGACCGGTTGGACCATCTGGCCTGTTGGTCCGATGGACCGGTTGGACCAACTGGCCTGTTGGTCCGATTGGACCAGTTGGACCAACTGGCCTGTTAATTCGATGGACCGGTTGGACCAACTGGCCTGTTGGTCCGATGGACCGGTTGGACCAACTGGCCTGTTGGTCAAATGGACCGGTTGGACCAACTGGCCTGTTGGTCCGATGGACCAGTTGGACCAACTGGCCTGTTGGTCCGATGGACCGATTGGACCAACTGGCCTGTTGGTCCGATGGACCGGTTGGACCAACTGGCCTGTTGGTCCGACGGACCGGTTGGACCAACTGGCCAGTTGGTCCGACGGACCGTTTGGACCAACTGGCCTGTTGGTCCGATGGACCGGTTGGACCAACTGGCCTGTTGGTCAAATGGATCGGTAAGACCAACTGGCCTGTTGATCCGATGGACCGGTTGGACCAACTGGCCTGTTGGTCCGATGGACCGGTTGGACCAACTGGCCTGTTGGTCCGATGGACCGGTTGGACCAACTGGCTCGTTGGTGCGATGGACCGGTTGGACCAACTGGCCTGTTGGTCCGATGGACCGGTTGGACCAACTGGCCTGTTGGTCCGATGGACCGGTTGGACCAACTGGCCTGTTGGTCCGATGGAGGGGTTGGACCATCTGGCCTGTTGGTCCGATGGACCGGTTGGACCAACTGGCCTGTTGGTCCGATGGACCGGTTGGACCAACTGGCCTGTTGGTCAAAAGGACCGGCTGGACCAACTGGCGTGTTGGTCTGATGGACCGGTTGGACCAACTGGCCTGTTGGTCCGATGGACCGGTTGGACCAACTGGCCTGTTGGTCCGATGGACCGGTTGGACCAACTGGCCTGTTGGTCCGATGGACCGGTTGGACCAACTGGCCTGTTGGTCCGATGGAGGGGTTGGACCATCTGGCCTGTTGGTCCGATGGACCGGTTGGACCAACTGGCCTGTTGGTCCGATGGACCGGTTGGACCAACTGGCCTGTTGGTCAAATGGACCGGTTGGACCAACTGGCGTGTTGGTCCGATGGACCGGTTGGACCAACTGGCCTGTTGGTCCGATGGACCGGTTGGTCCAACTAGCCTGTTGGTCCGATGGACCGGTTGGACCATCTGGCCTGTTGGTCCGATGGACCGGTTGGACCAACTGGCCTGTTGGTCCGATTGGACCAGTTGGACCAACTGGCCTGTTGGTTCGATGGACCGGTTGGACCAACTGGCCTGTTGGTCCGATGGACCGGTTGGACCAACTGGCCTGTTGGTCAAATGGACCGGTTGGACCAACTGGCCTGTTGGTCCGATGGACCGGTTGGACCAACTGGCCTGTTGGTCCGATGGACCGATTGGACCAACTGGCCTGTTGGTCCGATGGACCGGTTGGACCAACTGGCCTGTTGGTCCGACGGACCGGTTGGACCAACTGGCTAGTTGGTCCGACGGACCGTTTGGACCAACTGGCCTGTTGGTCCGATGGACCGGTTGGACCAACTGGCCTGTTGGTCCGATGGAGGGGTTGGACCATCTGGCCTGTTGGTCCGATGGACCGGTTGGACCAACTGGCCTGTTGGTCCGATGGACCGGTTGGACCAACTGGCCTGTTGGTCAAATGGACCGGTTGGACCAACTGGCGTGTTGGTCCGATGGACCGGTTGGACCAACTGGCCTGTTGGTCCGATGGACCGGTTGGTCCAACTAGCCTGTTGGTCCGATGGACCGGTTGGACCATCTGGCCTGTTGGTCCGATGGACCGGTTGGACCAACTGGCCTGTTGGTCCGATTGGACCAGTTGGACCAACTGGCCTGTTAATTCGATGGACCGGTTGGACCAACTGGCCTGTTGGTCCGATGGACCGGTTGGACCAACTGGCCTGTTGGTCAAATGGACCGGTTGGACCAACTGGCCTGTTGGTCCGATGGACCGGTTGGACCAACTGGCCTGTTGGTCCGATGGACCGGTTGGACCAACTGGCCTGTTGGTCCGATGGACCGGTTGGACCAACTGGCCTGTTGGTCCGATGGACCGGTTGGACCAACTGGCCTGTTGGTCCGACGGACCGGTTGGACCAACTGGCCAGTTGGTCCGACGGACCGTTTGGACCAACTGGCCTGTTGGTCCGATGGACCGGTTGGACCAACTGGCCTGTTGGTCCGATGGAGGGGTTGGACCATCTGGCCTGTTGGTCCGATGGACCGGTTGGACCAACTGGCCTGTTGGTCCGATGGACCGGTTGGACCAACTGGCCTGTTGGTCAAATGGACCGGTTGGACCAACTGGCGTGTTGGTCCGATGGACCGGTTGGACCAACTGGCCTGTTGGTCCGATGGACCGGTTGGTCCAACTAGCCTGTTGGTCCGATGGACCGGTTGGACCATCTGGCCTGTTGGTCCGATGGACCGGTTGGACCAACTGGCCTGTTGGTCCGATTGGACCAGTTGGACCAACTGGCCTGTTAATTCGATGGACCGGTTGGACCAACTGGCCTGTTGGTCCGATGGACCGGTTGGACCAACTGGCCTGTTGGTCAAATGGACCGGTTGGACCAACTGGCCTGTTGGTCCGATGGACCGGTTGGACCAACTGGCCTGTTGGTCCGATGGACCGGTTGGACCAACTGGCCTGTTGGTCCGATGGACCGGTTGGACCAACTGGCCTGTTGGTCCGATGGACCGGTTGGACCAACTGGCCTGTTGGTCCGACGGACCGGTTGGACCAACTGGCCAGTTGGTCCGACGGACCGTTTGGACCAACTGGCCAGTTGGTCCGATGGACCGGTTGGACCAACTGGCCTGTTGGTCCGATGGAGGGGTTGGACCATCTGGCCTGTTGGTCCGATGGACCGGTTGGACCAACTGGCCTGTTGGTCCGATGGACCGGTTGGACCAACTGGCCTGTTGGTCAAATGGACCGGTTGGACCAACTGGCGTGTTGGTCCGATGGACCGGTTGGACCAACTGGCCTGTTGGTCCGATGGACCGGTTGGTCCAACTAGCCTGTTGGTCCGATGGACCGGTTGGACCATCTGGCCTGTTGGTCCGATGGACCGGTTGGACCAACTGGCCTGTTGGTCCGATTGGACCAGTTGGACCAACTGGCCTGTTAATTCGATGGACCGGTTGGACCAACTGGCCTGTTGGTCCGATGGACCGGTTGGACCAACTGGCCTGTTGGTCAAATGGACCGGTTGGACCAACTGGCCTGTTGGTCCGATGGACCGGTTGGACCAACTGGACTGTTGGTCCGATGGAGGGGTTGGACCATCTGGCCTGTTGGTCCGATGGACCGGTTGGACCAACTGGCCTGTTGGTCCGATGGACCGGTTGGACCAACTGGCCTGTTGGTCAAAAGGACCGGCTGGACCAACTGGCGTGTTGGTCCGATGGACCGGTTGGACCAACTGGCCTGTTGGTCCGATGGACCGGTTGGACCAACTGGCCTGTTGGTCCGATGGACCGGTTGGACCAACTGGCCTGTTGGTCCGATGGACCGGTTGGACCAACTGGCCTGTTGGTCCGATGGAGGGGTTGGACCATCTGGCCTGTTGGTCCGATGGACCGGTTGGACCAACTGGCCTGTTGGTCCGATGGACCGGTTGGACCAACTGGCCTGTTGGTCAAATGGACCGGTTGGACCAACTGGCGTGTTGGTCCGATGGACCGGTTGGACCAACTGGCCTGTTGGTCCGATGGACCGGTTGGTCCAACTAGCCTGTTGGTCCGATGGACCGGTTGGACCATCTGGCCTGTTGGTCCGATGGACCGGTTGGACCAACTGGCCTGTTGGTCCGATTGGACCAGTTGGACCAACTGGCCTGTTGGTTCGATGGACCGGTTGGACCAACTGGCCTGTTGGTCCGATGGACCGGTTGGACCAACTGGCCTGTTGGTTCGATGGACCGGTTGGACCAACTGGCCTGTTGGTCCGATGGACCGGTTGGACCAACTGGCCTGTTGGTCAAATGGACCGGTTGGACCAACTGGCCTGTTGGTCCGATGGACCGGTTGGACCAACTGGCCTGTTGGTCCGATGGACCGATTGGACCAACTGGCCTGTTGGTCCGATGGACCGGTTGGACCAACTGGCCTGTTGGTCCGACGGACCGGTTGGACCAACTGGCCAGTTGGTCCGACGGACCGTTTGGACCAACTGGCCTGTTGGTCCGATGGACCGGTTGGACCAACTGGCCTGTTGGTCCGATGGAGGGGTTGGACCATCTGGCCTGTTGGTCCGATGGACCGGTTGGACCAACTGGCCTGTTGGTCCGATGGACCGGTTGGACCAACTGGCCTGTTGGTCAAATGGACCGGTTGGACCAACTGGCGTGTTGGTCCGATGGACCGGTTGGACCAACTGGCCTGTTGGTCCGATGGACCGGTTGGTCCAACTAGCCTGTTGGTCCGATGGACCGGTTGGACCATCTGGCCTGTTGGTCCGATGGACCGGTTGGACCAACTGGCCTGTTGGTCCGATGGACCGGTTGGACCAACTGGCCTGTTGGTCAAATGGACCGGTTGGACCAACTGGCGTGTTGGTCCGATGGACCGGTTGGACCAACTGGCCTGTTGGTCCGATGGACCGGTTGGTCCAACTAGCCTGTTGGTCCGATGGACCGGTTGGACCATCTGGCCTGTTGGTCCGATGGACCGGTTGGACCAACTGGCCTGTTGGTCCGATTGGACCAGTTGGACCAACTGGCCTGTTAATTCGATGGACCGGTTGGACCAACTGGCCTGTTGGTCCGATGGACCGGTTGGACCAACTGGCCTGTTGGTCAAATGGACCGGTTGGACCAACTGGCCTGTTGGTCCGATGGACCGGTTGGACCAACTGGCCTGTTGGTCCGATGGACCGGTTGGACCAACTGGCCTGTTGGTCCGATGGACCGGTTGGACCAACTGGCCTGTTGGTCCGATGGACCGGTTGGACCAACTGGCCTGTTGGTCCGACGGACCGGTTGGACCAACTGGCCAGTTGGTCCGACGGACCGTTTGGACCAACTGGCCTGTTGGTCCGATGGACCGGTTGGACCAACTGGCCTGTTGGTCCGATGGAGGGGTTGGACCATCTGGCCTGTTGGTCCGATGGACCGGTTGGACCAACTGGCCTGTTGGTCCGATGGACCGGTTGGACCAACTGGCCTGTTGGTCAAATGGACCGGTTGGACCAACTGGCGTGTTGGTCCGATGGTTCGGTTGGACCAACTGGCCTGTTGGTCCGATGGACCGGTTGGTCCAACTAGCCTGTTGGTCCGATGGACCGGTTGGACCATCTGGCCTGTTGGTCCGATGGACCGGTTGGACCAACTCGCCTGTTGGTCCGATTGGACCAGTTGGACCAACTGGCCTGTTAATTCGATGGACCGGTTGGACCAACTGGCCTGTTGGTCCGATGGACCGGTTGGACCAACTGGCCTGTTGGTCCGATGGACCGGTTGGACCAACTGGCCTGTTGGTCCGATGGACCGGTTGGACCAACTGGCCTGTTGGTCCGATGGACCGGTTGGACCAACTGGCCTGTTGGTCCGATGGAGGGGTTGGACCATCTGGCCTGTTGGTCCGATGGACCGGTTGGACCAACTGGCCTGTTGGTCCGATGGACCGGTTGGACCAACTGGCCTGTTGGTCAAATGGACCGGTTGGACCAACTGGCGTGTTGGTCCGATGGACCGGTTGGACCAACTGGCCTGTTGGTCCGATGGACCGGTTGGTCCAACTAGCCTGTTGGTCCGATGGACCGGTTGGACCATCTGGCCTGTTGGTCCGATGGACCGGTTGGACCAACTGGCCTGTTGGTCCGATTGGACCAGTTGGACCAACTGGCCTGTTGGTTCGATGGACCGGTTGGACCAACTGGCCTGTTGGTCCGATGGACCGGTTGGACCAACTGGCCTGTTGGTTCGATGGACCGGTTGGACCAACTGGCCTGTTGGTCCGATGGACCGGTTGGACCAACTGGCCTGTTGGTCAAATGGACCGGTTGGACCAACTGGCCTGTTGGTCCGATGGACCGGTTGGACCAACTGGCCTGTTGGTCCGATGGACCGATTGGACCAACTGGCCTGTTGGTCCGATGGACCGGTTGGACCAACTGGCCTGTTGGTCCGATGGACCGGTTGGACCAACTGGCCTGTTGGTCAAATGGAGCGGTTGGACCAACTGGCGTGTTGGTCCGACGGACCGGTTGGACCAACTGGTCTGTTGGTCCGATGGACCGGTTGGACCAATTGGCCTGTTGGTCCGATGGACCGGTTAAACCAACTGGCCTGTTGGTCCGATGGACCGGTTGGACCAACTGGCCTGTTGGTCCGATGGAGGGGTTGGACCATCTGGCCTGTTGGTCCGATGGACCGGTTGGACCAACTGGCCTGTTGGTCCGATGGACCGGTTGGACCAACTGGCCTGTTGGTCAAATGGACCGGTTGGACCAACTGGCGTGTTGGTCCGATGGTTCGGTTGGACCAACTGGCCTGTTGGTCCGATGGACCGGTTGGTCCAACTAGCCTGTTGGTCCGATGGACCGGTTGGACCATCTGGCCTGTTGGTCCGATGGACCGGTTGGACCAACTCGCCTGTTGGTCCGATTGGACCAGTTGGACCAACTGGCCTGTTAATTCGATGGACCGGTTGGACCAACTGGCCTGTTGGTCCGATGGACCGGTTGGACCAACTGGCCTGTTGGTCCGATGGACCGGTTGGACCAACTGGCCTGTTGGTCCGATGGACCGGTTGGACCAACTGGCCTGTTGGTCCGATGGACCGGTTGGACCAACTGGCCTGTTGGTCCGATGGACCGGTTGGACCAACTGGCCTGTTGGTCCGACGGACCGGTTGGACCAACTGGCCAGTTGGTCCGACGGACCGTTTGGACCAACTGGCCTGTTGGTCCGATGGACCGGTTGGACCAACTGGCCTGTTGGTCCGATGGAGGGGTTGGACCATCTGGCCTGTTGGTCCGATGGACCGGTTGGACCAACTGGCCTGTTGGTCCGATGGACCGGTTGGACCAACTGGCCTGTTGGTCAAATGGAGCGGTTGGACCAACTGGCGTGTTGGTCCGACGGACCGGTTGGACCAACTGGTCTGTTGGTCCGATGGACCGGTTGGACCAATTGGCCTGTTGGTCCGATGGACCGGTTAAACCAACTGGCCTGTTGGTCCGATGGACCGGTTGGACCAACTGGCCTGTTGGTCCGATGGACCGGTTGGACCAACTAGCCTGTTGGTCCGATGGACCGGTTGGACCAACTGGTCTGTTGGTCCGATGGACCGGTTGGACCAACTGGTCTGTTGGTCAAATGGACCGCTTGGACCAACTGGCCTGTTGGTCCGATGGACCGGTTCGACCAACTGGCCTCTTGGTCCAATGGACCGCTTCGACCAACTGGCCCGTTGGTCTGATGGACCGGTTGGACCAACGGGCCTGTTGGTCCGATGGATTGGTTGGATCATTGTCCTGTTGGTCCAATGGACCGGTTGGACAAACTGGCCTATTGGTCCGATGGACCGGTTGGACCAACTGGCCTGTTGGTCCGATGGACCGGTTGGACCAACTGTCCATTTGGTCCAATGGACCGGTTGGACCACTTGGCCTGTTGGTCCAATGGACCGGTTGGACCAACTGTCCTTTTGGTCCAATAGACCGGTTGGACCAACTGGCATATTGGTCATATGATGGACCAACTGACCTGGTGGTCCAATGGACCGGTTGGACCAAGTGGCCAGTTGGACCGATGGACCGGTTGGACTAACTGGCCTGTTGGTCCAATAGACCGGTTGGACCAACTCGCCTGTTGGTCCAATGGACCAACTGGCATATTGGTCATATGATGGACCAACTGACCTGGTGGTCCAATGGACCGGTTGGTCAAGTGGCCTGTTGGACCGATGGACCGGTTGGACCAACTGGCCTGTTGGTCCAATAGACCGGTTGGACCAATTGGCCATTTGGTCCAATGGACCGGTTGGACCAACTATCTTTTGGTCTGATGGACCGGTTGGACCAACTGGCCTGTTGGTCCAATGGACCGGTTGGATCAACGGGCCTGTTGGTCCAATGGACCGGTTGGATCAACTGTCATGTTGGTCCAATGGACCGGTTGGACCAACTGGCCTGTTGGTCCAATGCACCGGTTGGAGCTGCCATGTTGGTCCAATGGACCGGTTGGACCAACAGGACTGTTGGTCCAATGGACCGGTTGGACCAAGTGGCCTGTTCGTCCGATGGACCGGTTGGACTAACTGGCCTGTTAGTCCAATGGACCGGTTGGACCAATTAGCCGTTTGGTCCGATGGACCGGTTGGACCAACTACCTTTTGGTCTGATGGACTGGTTGGACCAACTGGCTTGTTGGTCCAATGGACCGGTTGGATCAACGGGCCTGTTGGTCCAATGGACCGGTTGGATCAACTGGCATGTTGGTCCAATGGACCGGTTGGACCAACAGGACTGTTGGTCCAATGGACTGGTTGGACCAACTGGCCTGTTGGTCGAATGGACCGGTTGGACCAACTGGTCCGTTGGTCCGATGTACCAGTTGGACCAACTGGCCTGTTGGTCTAGTGGACCGGTTGGACCAACTAGCTTATTGGTCCAATGGACCGGTTGGATCAACTGGCTTGTTGGTCTGATGGACCTGTTGGACCAACAATTGTTCTATTGGTCCAATAGACCGGTTAGACCAACGTTCCTGTTGGTCCAATGGACCGGTTGGACCTACTGGTATGCTGGTCAGATGGACCGGTTGGACCAACTGGCTTGTTGGTCCAATGGACCAGTTGGACCAACTGGCCAATTGGTCCGATGGACCGGTTGGACCAACTACCTGTTAGTCTGATGGACAGGTTGGACCAACTGGCCTGTTGGTCCAATGGACCGGTTGGATCAACGGGCCTGTTGGTCTAGTGGACCAGTTGGATCAACTGGCATGTTCGTCCAATGGACCGGTTGGATCAACTAGAATGTTGGTCCAATGGATCGGTTGGACCGACAGGCCTATTGGTCCAATGGACAGGTTGGACCAACAGGACGGTTGGACCAACTGGCATATTGGTCATATCATGGACCAATTGACCTGGTGGTCCAATGGACCGGTTCGACCAAGTGGCCTGTTGGTTCGATGGACCGGTTGGACTAACTGGCCTGTTGGTCCAATGGATTGGTTGGACCAACTCGCCTGTTGGTCCAATGGACCGGTTTGACCAACTGGCCTGTTGGTCCAATAGACCGGTTGGACCAATTGGCCAATTGGTCCAATGGACCGGTTGGACCAACTATCTTTTGGTCTGATGGACCGGTTGGACCAACTGGCCTGTTGGTCCGATGGACCGGTTGAACCAACTGGCCTGTTGGTCCGATGGACCGGTTGGACCAACTGTCCTTTTGGTCCAATGGACCGGTTGGACCACTTGGCCTGTTGGTCCAATGGACCGGTTGGACCAACTGGTCTGTTGGTCAAATGGACCGCTTGGACCAACGGGCTTGTTGGTCCAATGGACCGGTTAGACCAACTACATGTTGGTCCAATGAACCGGTTGGACCAACTAGCCTTTTTGTCCAATGGACCGGTTGGACCAACTGGCCTGTTGGTCCAATGGACCGGTTGGACGAATGGGCCTGTTTGTCCAATGGACCGGTTGGATCATTGGCCTATTGGTCCAATGTACCGGTTGGACCAACTGGCCTGTTGGTCCGATGGACCGGTTGGACCAACTGGCCTGTTGGTCCGATGGACCGGTTGGACCAACTGGCCTGTTGGTCAGATGGACCGGTTGGACCAACTGGCCTGTTGGTCCTATGGACCGGTTGGACCAACTGGCCTGTTGGTCCGATGGACCGGTTGGACCAACTGGCCTGTTGGTCCGATGGACCGGTTGGACCAACTGGCCTGTTGGTCCGATGGACCGGTTGAACCAACTGGCCAGTTGGTCTGACGGACCGTTTGGACCAACTAGCCTATTGGTCCGACGGACCGGTTGGACCAACTGGCCTATTGGTCCGACGGACCGGTTGGACCAACTGGCCTGTTGGTCCGATGGACCGGTTGGACCAACTGGCCTGTTGGTCCGATGGACCGGTTGGACGAACTGGCCTGTTGGTCCGATGGACCAGTTGGACCAACTGGCCTGTTGGTCCGACGGACCGTTTGGACCAACTGGCCTGTTGGTCCGACGGACCGTTTGGACCAACTGGCCTGTTGGTCCGACGGACCGGTTGGACCAACTGGCCTGTTGGTCCGACGGACCGGATGGACCAACTGGCCTGTTGGTTCGATGGACCGGATGGACCAACTGGCCTGTTGGTCCGATGGACCGGTTGGACCAACTGGCCTGTTGGTCCGATGGACCGGTTGGACCAACTAGCCTGTTGGTCCGATGGACCGGTTGGACCAACTGGCCTGTTGGTCGATGGACCGGTTGGACCAACTGGCCTGTTGGTCCGATGAACCGGTTGGACCAACTGGCCTTTTGGTCAAATGGACCGGTTGGACCAACTGGCCTGTTGGTCCGATGGACCGGTTGGACCAACTGGCTTGTTGGTCCGATGGACCGGTTGGACCATCTGGCCTGTTGGTCAAATGGACCGGTTGGACCAACTGGCCTGTTGGTCTGATGGACCGTTTGGACCAACTGGCCTGTTGGTCCGACGGACCGGTTGGACCAACTGGCCTTTTGGTCCGATAGATCGGTTGGACCAACTGGCCTGTTTGTCCGATGGACCAGTTGGACCAACTAGCCTGTTGGTCCGATGGACCAGTTGGACCAACTGGCCTGTTGGTCCGATGGACCGGTTGGACCAACTGGCCTGTTGGTCCGATGGACCGGTTGGACCAACTGGCCTGTTGGTCGGATGGACCGGTTGGACCAACTGGCCTGTTGGTCCGATGGACCGGTTGGACCAACTGGCCTGTTGGTCCGATGGACCGGTTGGACCAACTGGCCTGTTGGTCCGATGGACCGGTTGGACCAACTGGCCTGTTGGTCCGATGGACCGGTTGGACCAACTGTCCTTTTGGTCCAATGGACCAGTTGGACCACTTGGCCTGTTGGTCCAATGGACCGATTGGACCAACTGGTCTGTTGGTCAAATGGACCGCTTGGACCAACGGGCTTGTTGGTCCAATGGACCGGTTAGACCAACTACATGTTGGTCCTATGAACCGGTTGGACCAACTGGCCTTTTTGTCCAATGGACCGGTTGGACCAACTGGCCTGTTGGTCCAATGGACCGGTTGGACGAATGGGCCTGTTTGTCCA